CCCCAAAACCCCAAAACCCCAAAACCCCTTTACAACTTTAAAATCGGAGAAACTAGTAAATTCTATTTTATTGGAAAATTATAAAAAATATAGGACCAAAATGTCAATAAAAAGTGAGATATCACAGAGTCAAGAAGAGGAGAGATTTAGCAATAAACCTAATTAGTAAGAGACTCTCAAAGAGGTATTCTCAGATATCAAAGGTAAAAATAAATGAATAACTTAGAAATTCTATAGATATTATGAAAGTAAGTCCCTCTCACTAGCAGTTATCCAACTCACCAAAGTTGATTACTAATAATAAATAAGCAATTTACAAACCCCAAGCAAATCAGTTATTAATCAATAATCGTGAATTAAGTTCTTAAGGTACTCTCCCAGACTATGAGAAAAGTGCTCCTAATATCGCTTTGGCAAACAATAATAACTACAATAACAACCTAATCAACTCTTCAAGCCAAGTTAAGTCTTCTTCAAATAATCAAATGCGTGAAATTCTGCTGGAAAAAGAGAATTAAAATCAGAAACTTAGAGAAATAAACAATCAACTTAAAGATAAAATCTAGAAGCTCTCACAGGCTTTAGATATATCACTTGCTAATCAGAGATCATACCAAGATAGCAGTATTAGATAATAGCAGTAGAATATTATTGGTTCGGAAAATCAATAGGCTAAGCCATAGAGAGAAGTAATGTAAAAGAATCTAAAACTTAAAGAGAAGGAAATACAGGCCTATGCGACAATTATTGCCTCATTGAAGAAATAGAATGAGTAACTGAAATCCAAACTTGAGCATAAGGAGGGAATGAATAGAGTTCTAGACTTAGAAGATAAACTGAAGGAATCTGAGAGACAGAGAGCAGAGCTTTAAAAGGAAGTTAAGAGTATGCAGAGGATTCAACAGGATTAGGGCAAAGCTCTAGATAAATTAGTAAATGAGGGAGATTACCCTAATAAAATAAAGAGTTTGATGGAGTAACTGAAGCTAGCCAAGGAAAAAATTAGAGAATTAGAAGATAAGTCAAGGAAAGATGATAAGAATTCCTTGCAAGTGCAGGACTATTTGATCAAACTTGAAGAGCAGAACAGGGAATTGAAAAATAAAATGAAGAGCAAGTAAGTGAATGCAAATCAGGGATAAAGCATGATCACAGAATTGAATCAAAATGAGAGCAGTGCTTAGATCAATTAGCAGTAGTAGTAGGTAACCTCAAATAGTCATAATTAAAATGGGGTAGTGGCTTTCTCAGACAACAGTTAAGTGGAGGAGTTATAGAGAATTAATGCTATTTTAATGAGAGCGAAGGAGGTTCAATATAAAAAGGGTTAGTATTTAAAGCTTAAATTTGAGAAGAAGTAAGAGAAATTCAATGCAATAATTGAGCAACTTAATAATAAGGTCACAGAGCAGGACAAGGTAAATAATACCTGATTTAACAATACTCTAAATAGGAGATAAAATTGTATCAAATGAAACTTAAGGAATTTGTATAGAACAATCTAAACACTATTAGTTCGTAGAGTTATCTTGAAATAGAAAACATGATTTAAAATAGACAAGTCTAAAATAAAAGTGGGAAAATTAATGAGCAATATACTAAAATGAGAGAAATTACCGAGAAATATAGTAAACTTGTAAGTATTTTTTATCGATTTAAGTTATATAATAGCCGTTGAAGCCAGGTTTCGGAAATGGAACCAAATTGAATTCTCGGTTGAATAACTTATCAATCGATGTAAACTCAAATGAATTCAAATCAAACCAAATGACTCTTATCCCTATATAGTAAAATGGCGATGCCACTAATCGAACTGTAGTTGCAGGCTCAAGTATTGGAGTAAAATCTACTTAAAATCGAAGTAAGTCTATTGATCCAACAGCTAAAAGACTAGCAAAAATACCATAAACCACAAGAAAGACTAAAATCGGAGGACAAAACTTGTAGAATTTAAAAGGTGCGATTTATGAAGATATGAATGGAAACTTGATATAAGATATAGAGTTGAATACAAGTGAGATTTAACTAGAGTCAAGCAAGTAAAAACTTAACCCGCCATCTAATTTATTAAGTCCTCATGAGTTTGAGAAAGTTGATGATTTCTCTGATAGGAAGATAAGAGATTTAGAAAAAGAAACAGATGAGCTTTTAGCAAGGTTCCAGGCGTAAAACCAGACATACGGAGAATAAAGCAATTAGATTATTGAGACTTCTCTAAATTATGATGCATTCTAAAACTTAGACGGAGATATAAGTAAACTTAACGATGATATGCAAGATGAAGATATAAACCAACTTATGAATGAATATTAATGAATGTCCGAGGTATAACTATGAATAAATCTAAAAGTAATATGAGTTAACTAATAAATATTGATTAAGACATTAAGCAAAAGAATTTTATATCTTAAATACTATAGGAGACTAAAATCTTTATTTTTGCAAAAACTATCATCCTCATCTTTATAAAATCACAAGTCTTTTCTTCATAGCTAGTTTTGATCGTAGTATATTTCATAGGCTATCTGCCAGACTTGAAGTATATTGTCCTCTGCGCAAGAAGCCATCATTAGCTTTTCATTCAAATTCCATGCAATGTCAGAAACTTTAGCAGTCATACCTCCATGGATAAATAGCAATTCTGGAGGACCATCTCTCTTCTCTTCCTCTGTTTATTTCTATCCTATTCTAGATAGATCCCAGACCATAACTCTTCTATCAGCTCCTGAAGAAGCCAACAAGTTTCCAAGCATAGGACTGAACTTAACCTAAGTCACTTCATCCTTATGATGTCTCAAAGAGAATAGTTTGCTCTTAATATTTCTAGTATCCCAGACAGCAACGGATCCATCTGCAGATCCAGTCACTAATAAATTTGAGTCAAATGGAGAGTAGTCAACGGACATGATTTCAGCCATATGTGCTTCAATGTTCTAAGCTGGTTGTCTTTCTCTTAAATCCCAGAGTATGAGGCGTTTATCATCACTGACTGAGGCGAAAAGATTGCCATCAAAGTAGTTCCAAGCTACATCCTCCACCACTTGAGTGTGAGCCTCATACGTATGAAGTGGTTCGATGCTGTTGTTAAGTTAATTTGGCTTGTTAACATCCCATATGCAAATTAAAGAGTCATCAGAGCCAGAGAGAAGCATTCCCCCATGAACTGGGTTCCAAGCCAAGCCGAATCCCTCCTTTTTATGCCCTAGAAGTTTTAAATCTGGCTTGACTTGATCATTAGATGGCTTTGAGGGATGCTTAAAGAAATCAAAGATATGCACTTCCCCTGATATAGTCTTACTGGCAATTATATTGTGACTCTGAGGCATGTATCTAGCTTTGTTTACTTCGCCTTAATGATTAATTTGAGTTTCGATTTGAATGCGCTCATTTTTATGGCTACTTCCACCAATACCATTCACATCTCTTGCATTGTCTTAGTAATCGCGGGTGTCCTTAGACGACTCAAGTGGTATTTTGACCTAGATAAAGCAAGAACTAAGTTAATAATTAGCTTACTTTCATGATTTAAATGTAGTTCTGCTCATCATTGGAAGTATGAGTACCAATGAGCAACTTTTAAGTTGAACTATCAGAACCTTATGGCCTAAAACATGTTAGAGTCGACTGATATTTACACATCGCGGGAAGGCATCCATTCAACAGTAAGAGTGGGCCAGGTGAGTGCATGAGAATATAATGTATCATAAAAGAATGGAGCGTTCTTCTTCCAAATCTTGTACTCCTCAAATATCTTTTGCTCTTCTACTTCGTCAGTGTTCTCGACTAAAAGTTGATAATTTAAGGAAATCTATTGGGATTAGGTAAGTTTACCTTGATCTTAAAATGCGTTCATTATTTGTAATTTTTAAATCAATAATTTAATATTTATAAAAATAACATATAATCAGCAGTATATAAATGTCAGTATTGCTTGAAACCTCAGTAGGTGACTTGGTGATAGATCTGTTTGTTGATGAATGCCCCAAGACAACACTTAACTTTCTGAAGCTATGCAAGATTAAATTCTACAATAACTGTCTGTTCTATGAGGTATAGAGGGATTATTTGGTATCCACAGGTGATCCTACAAACAAAGGAAGCTCAGGAACATCTGTATGGGGAGTGGCATCTTAAAACCCCAAGTTGATGTACTTTGATGATGAGATTAGGAAGAACAATCGAAAGTTTGACAAGAAAGGGCTAGTAGCAATGGCCAATAAGGGGCCTAATATGAATGGTTCAGCTTTCTTCATTACTCTGAGTGATAATGAGATTGAGCATTTAAATAATAAGCATACTATATTTGGCCAAATAGTCGAGGGACTTGAAAATCTAGATAAAATTAATAAGGCCTACACTGATTCCAAGGGAAGACCATATCAAAATATTAGAATAAAGCATACTTTGGTGATTGATGACCCTTATGAAGATTAAGACCCTGAAGGTTTGGTTGTTCCCTCTCGTTCTCCAAGCCCTGTTGTGATAAGATCAAAAGACCTAGGCTAGGATGAGTACCTAGATGAGGATTTCGATGAGCGGCTTGAGGATGACATAGACTTAAACGAGATTATGAAGGGCAAGACAGAGGAGGATCTTTAAAAGGAGATCATTGAGCATCAGACTAAGACTAGAGCTGCAGTCTTGGAGATAGTCGAGGATCTTCCTGATGCAGACATCGAACCTCCCAAGAATGTGCTATTTGTTTGCAAGCTGAACCCAGTGACTTAGGACGGTGATTTGAACCTGATTTTCTCTAGATTCGGGCCAATCAAGACCTGCGAAATCATCAGAGATTGGAAAACAGGAGACTCCCTTTAGTATGCTTTTATTGAATTTGAAACAGAGGAAGCATGTATTGAAGCCTATACTAGAATGGAGGGTGTGGCCATTGATGAACGCAGAATTCATGTAGACTTCTCTCAATCAGTAGCTAAGCTGTGGAACTCGCATAGAAAGAAACAACTAAAAATAGCTGCAGATAAAATACTTGAGCATGAAGAAATTCTCAGAGATAAGGAGAAAAAGGTTTACAATCTATTTAACAACTACAAGGATAAAGATAACGGAAAGAAGAAGTCCAGGTCAAGAGATAGAGAGACTCGCAGAGATAGAGATGATCGCCATTACAAGTACAAAGATGATAGAAGCAGTAGAAGAGATAGATCTAGAAGCAAGGATGGAAAACATAAAAGCTCGCATAGAGATGATAGAAAACACATACATAGAGATAGGAGTGATTCAAGGGATAGGAAATAACATAAGAAGAGCAGTCACAGTTACCGAAGAGAAAGGTCTGATTCAAGAGATAAAAAAAGCCATAGACGATGAGTTGGAGACTAATAAAATCTTAATTAATGATGTAAAATTAATTTCATTAATATACGAATAAATCTAATGAGATGGGGTTTTGGGGTTTTGGGG